GAATAGCTATTTTAAAGAAAACAGCACAACATAAAAGCTAGTACTGATTTAATATCATCTTGTTTTGAAGTCCTATAAAGCTGTAGTACATCTGTTTCCACTGGTTTTTAACATGATGTATCTTACTATATTTCACTATATGCTATAGTATAAACACAATTCTTTATAGGCAAAGGATAATATACAAACCTTTGTTCATTTTCTATTAGCTGGTTCTAAATACCCTGTAATTCTTGAATTCTCTTGAATGGCTTCACACTGTCTTGATATGCTTGATGTTATAGCATATGAAGATACACTCAAATAATTCAAGGAAAGAGACACTATGGCAACTACTATTATGTTAGATTATCTGGTGGTGAAATACCATGACTCTTGAATTGTTTTGTTCTATTACAATGTCCTTTCTTATCTCAATCCCCCCCCCTTTTTTTAAATTAGTCTATTTTCTCTCATTTTTTTTAATTAAAGGAAAACTAAATTTTAAAAAAGCGGGACATATTATGGTAAATTTCTTGGTTTTCCTATTAACCTGATTTGAACCCCAGTATTGCTCTCCCCGTCTTATTCTGTCTGATTATTCTATATTCTACTTTCTTAGGTAGTATCAAGTTTGAGGGTATAGGCAACCACTCTGAAGGCAATAAGATATACTACGATGCCCATTATGGTTTGACTATTGTCCTTTTTTTTTGAAGTCCTATAAGGTCTCCAGTGTAGGTTTTATTGGTCTTATTCTGTACTGTTTTGATCAATTCTGTTATACCTGATATAAGAAACTCAATTTAAAAATAGCAAGAGACACAATGATAACCACTTTTGATCACCTGGTATTCTATTTTTGAATCATGTACTATGCCCACCCTTCTGTTCTAACTGACTCTGTTTTGCTTAGTTACGTTTGGTTTTATTCTCTGCAGAAAAAGTAGTAAGAACCGTGGAAGTAATAAAACCAAAAAGTCTAATTGTTATTGTAAAAAGGAGAGGAAAGGACTGTGGACTAAGGGATATAACCACATGTATGTTTGAGTGTGTAGGATGGAAAACCATAACACTGAGCTTTTGTTGGATCATTGAATGGAACTGTCTCCAATTTCACTGTATGAATGTTCACTTTACATGCTTTACTTTTGTAATTTGGACAACTGTTTCTGAGAAGATATGTAACCTATTAACTGGTGATTTCTTACTGCATTTTTTTTTCTTGAAATTCTCTATTACTTGTACCCTTTTACAGCTCGGTTTTTCATGTCCTTTCTTTTTTCTCTTTAAATAAAAAAAAATGCAAAAGAATTGAAATTATCCCATGCATGTTATCGGATCATAGCACCATGAAATTAGAAATTAATGATAAAAGATACTACAAAAATCCCACAAACACATGGAAACTGAATAAAACACTCTTGAATAATCAGTGGGTCACAGGGAAAGTTGAAGAAGAAATTAAGCAATACCTACAAGAAAACAATGAAAGCTATTCTAAGAGGAAAATTTATTGCACTGAATTCCCATATCAGGAAAACAGAACGAATACAAATAACCTTATGCTGCACCTAAAACATCTAGAAAAGGAAGAGCACAACAATCCAAAAGCCAAAACAGGGGAAGAAATTGTAAAACTCAGAGCAGAAATCAATGCAATAGAGACTAACAATCCAAAGAATCAATGAATCAAAGAGTTGGTTCTTTTAAATAATAAATAAAATTGATAAGCCCCTAGCCAGTCTTATTTTAAAAATGGAAGAAAAAGCTCAAATTCATATTGTAAGAAATGAAAATGATGAAATCACCACAAAAATACAGAAGATCATTAACATCTATTTTAAAAACCTTTACTCTCAAAGGTTTGATAACACTGAAGAAATAGACAGATTTCTTGAAACACATGAAGTACCAAAGCTAGGTCAAGGAAATGTAAAACTGCTGAATAACCCAATCTCTATTCATGAAATTGAAAATGCAATTAAGTCCTTACCTACAAAGAAGAGCTCAGGGCCAGATGGATTCACTGCAGAATTCTACAAGAAATACAAAGAAGAATTAATGCCGACACTACTCAAAATCTTCAGTGAAATCAAAAGGGAAGTAAACCTTCCTAAGTCATCCCTGGAAGCAAATATTTCTCTAGTACCAAAACCTGAGGAAGACCCAAATAAAAAAGAGAACTACAGGACAATCACCCTAATGAACACAGATGCAAAAATCTTTAATAAAATATTGCCAAGTATGATGCAGCAAATCATCAAGAAGATTATACACCATGACAAGTAGGATTCATCCCAGGCATGTAGGGATGGTTCAACATACGTAAATCAATATATGTAATCCACCATATCAATAAAGTCAAAAGTAAGAATCACATGATCATTTTCATAGATGCAGAAAAAGCTTTAGATAAGGTCCAACATTCAGTTATGTTAAGAACCTTACAAAATATTGGAATAGATGGTCTTTACCTCAGTATAATAAAGACCATCTATGACAAACCAGCAGCCAGTATCATACTAAATGGCCAAAAACTGAAGGCCTTTACCTTAAAAATCAGGCACAAGACAAGGATGTCCCTTATCACTGCTCCTATTTAATATAGTTCTGGAAATGCTAGCCAGAGCAATTAGACCAAGAGATAGAAATAAAATGGATAAAGATAGGAAGAGAAGAAGTGAAATTATTATTATTAGAGGATGACATGATACTCTACATAGAAGACCCCCAATATTCTGTTGCTGTATCCAGCAATATAGCTGGATACAAAATCAATACTCAAAAATCAATAGCATTTCTATATACTGACAACAAAATCACATAGAGAGAAATAAGAGGAGCCATACCCTTCACACTAGCAACCAAAAAAATGAAATATTTAGGAATTATTCTCATGAAAGAAGTGAAAGACCTATATAGGAAAAATTACAATAAACTTAAAAAAGAAATTCAAGAGGATCTCAGAAAATGGAAAGACATTCTTGCTCATGGATAGGAACAATAAATATTGTGAAAATGGCCATTCTACCAAAACTGCTATACAGATTCAATGCAATCCCAATAAAAATGCCTTCAACATACCTCATCGATCTAGAGAAATCACTCTTTAAATATATCTGGAACTAGAAGAAACCTAGAATAGCAAAGACAGTTCTAAGCAGCAAAAGCAAGGCAAGAAGCATCACAATCTCTGACTTGAATTTATACTGCAAGGCAACTGTAGTAAAATCAACTTGGCACTGGAATCAAAATAGAGCTGAAGATCAATGGAAAAGATTAGAAGATACAACCACAACTACAAAAACACTCAACCACCTTTTTTTTTTTTTTGATAAAGGGGCCAAGCATGTTCCCTGGAAGAATGACAGTCTCTTTAATAAATAATGTTGGAAAAATTGGCTCTCCATATGATGAAAACTAAAACTAGACCCATGCCTATCACCATGTAGTAAATTAAAATCTAAATGGATCAAATATCTGAATATTAAAACAGAAACACTAAATCTATTGGCAGACAAAGTGGGTAAAAGCCTTGAAGACATAGGGATAGGTAGAGAATTCATGAACAGGCATCAAACTGCACGGGAAATACTTCCCAGAATCAATAACTGGGATTGCTTCTTATTAAAAAGTTTTTGCACTTCAAAAGAAATCTCCAGCATAATGAAAAGAAAATCCACAAACTGGGAAAAAATCTTAGAGAACTGTCCCTGAGACAAAGGACTTCTGTCTAATACAAAGAATTAAAAAATCAGACCCTCAAAATTCAAAGATCCAATCCAAAAATGGGCATCTGAGATGAATAAACAGTTCTCAGATGAAAAAATACAAATGGCAAACAAATACATGAAAAATTTTTCATCATCATTGGTCATTAGAGAAATGCAAATTAAAACCATATTGAGATTCCATCTCACTCCTGAATGAATGGCCAACATCAAGAAAACTACCAACAACAAATTCTGGAGACACAGTGAGGAAAAAGGAACTCTCCTGCACTGTTGGTGGGAGTGTAGACTGGTGTAGCCATTGTGGAGGTCAGTCTGGAGATTTCTCAAAAAGCTGGGATTGGAAGTCTCGTTTGTTTCAGCTATTCCACTTCTAGGCATATTCCCAGAAAAGCTGAAAACATCACACCACAGTGATATATGTACACCTATGTTTATAGCAGCACAATTTTTAATAGCCAGATCTTGGAAACAACCTAAGTGTCCATCAACTGAAGAATGGATAAAAAAAGTTGTGGTATTTTTATACAATGGAGTACTACTCAGCTATAAAGAATAAAAGTTGTGGTATTTTTATACAATGGAGTACTACTCAGCTATAAAGAATAATCACATTGAGATATTTAAAAATAAATGGGCACAGCTTGAGATCATACTCATAAGTGAAATAAATTAAACTCACATGTATAAATACCGGATAGTTTCCCTAGTGTAAGAAATGGTAAGAGTACATAAAACAATGTGGTAAACTCGATTCTCCATTATATTGCTTTGAAGCCTTATAATGTTTTCATTTTTTATTTGGATGATTTTATCCTCAGTGGTTTGATTCCATTGTCTGTGATGGTCTGAACAGTTATTTTGAGGAAAACAAGACAATATAATAGATAGAGCTGATTTAATATCATCTTGTTTTGAAGTCCCATGAAGTTTTTGTTCTTCTGTCTCCATCGTATTATCATGTTGTATCTTATTGGATTTTATTATATATTATAGTGTAAACAAATTTTTTATGGACAAGGAGATAATATAGAAACCATTGCTCATTTTCTGTTAGTTGGTTCTAAATACCCTGTAATACTTTTATTCTATTGAATGATTTTACACTCTTATGTTGTAGTTGATGCTATACTATACAAAGTTATACTCAAATATTTCAAGGAAAGAGACTCTAAGTTAGCTCCTGTTATGTCAGGTTATCTTGTGGTGAAACACTATGTTGTTTAAATTGCTGTGTTCTGACCTGTGTTACTATGTTGTTATGTCCTCTTTTATCTTTTTTTAATACAGGGGAGAGCACAAACGCAGTCCCCCACTCACAAATTATGCAGTCGAGTTTCCCACATTTGGGGAAATCACAGGGGTCAGCACATCCGGAGTGCAATGGATAAGCCTCGCCCTGGGTGTCCTCTTTTATCTTAATCTCCTTCTTTCTTTTAATTTTTTTAATAAAAAATTTTTAAAAAAGAAGACAAAGTAGGTAGAAAACTTGAAGACATAGAGGTAGGGAGAGAATTCATGAACAAAAATCAAATGGCACACAAAATACTTCAAAGAATCAATAACTGGGATCATGTGCTATTAAAGAGTTTTTGCATGTTGAAAGAAATCTGCAGCATAGTCAACCCCCCCCCACCACTATTTGGGAAAAATCTTGGTGAACTGTCCCTCAGACAAAGGACTTTTGTCTAGAACATATAATTTTTTTTTAAAAAAAATAAGAGCGCCAAAATCCAAAAACCCATTGCAAAAATGGGCACTTGATATGAACACACACAGATCTCAGATGAAAAAATACAAATGGCCAATAAATACATGAAAAAATGTTCAGCATCATTGGTCATTATAGAAATGCAAATTAAAACGACACTAAGATTCCTTCTAACTCCTGAAAGAATGTGCACAATAAAGAAAACTACCAACAACAAATGCTGGAGAGGCTGTGGGGAAAAAGGAACTTTTCTGCATTGTTGGTTGGGAGTGTAGACTGCTGCAACCATTGTGGAGATCATTCTGGAGGTTCCTCAAAAAGCTGAGATTGGAACTCCCATTTGTTCCAGCTATTCAACTTCTGGGCATATTATCAAAAGAACTTAAAACATCATACCACAGTGATATATGCGCACCCATTTTTATAGCATCACAAATTTGTAATAGACAGATCTTGGAAACAATCTGAGTGTCCATCAACTGAGGAATGGATAAAAAAGCTGTAGTATTTTTATAAAATGGAGTACTACTCAGCTATAAAGAATGATCATATTGAGATATCTATAAGTAAATGGATGCAGCTTGAGACCACACTCATAAGTGAAATAACTCAAACTGACATGTGTAAATACCATATAGTGTCCCTAGCATAAGAAATAGTAAGAGTACATGAGATATAAAAAACAACATATACAGTGAAAGGGCAAGAATCTGCATAAAGTGGAAAAATAATGTCTCAGGGAAATGAGGAAAAGAAAAAGGAAGGGAAAAGAAAAGATATCTAAAAATATATAAACACACTAGAGATAGCTAAGATGATTGCACTACAAACAGCATAAGTTCTTGGAACAAAATAGTTAACATTAATAGGATTGGAACAATTGTGCATATTATTGTATGGTGATCTTAGGAACTCTTAAAGATCATTATATAAAAGAATAACCCTAGCTCATACCACCTTGTTCTGAAGGCCTATATTGTCAGTGTTTTGGGCTCTTTGCTATTGCTATTTATTTTCTTTTTTGTTTTGTTATGTTTAGTTTTACTCTCTTTATTTTATTTCTGGATTTCACAACATGACAATATGGAATCAGCACTGGGTGCCATAGTGTTTCTTTTTTTTTCAAAGTAGTTGTTCAAAACTATTTAGGAGAAGTTCTAGGCATGTATGAGTCTCTACATGTATACCTATCCTTTCTGTATTAGAGGAAAATACAAAACAAAACAAATTCCTAGAAAAATACAAAAAAAAATGTTGATGATGGAGGATGATGAAATGAATCCCAGGGAACAGATTCCCTAAACCTCCATTTGGGAGCAGGGCCTATTAGCATTCTTCCTAAAAGAAGGTCTCATAATTTTATACCTTTCAGCACATAACAGGTGATTTCTTAGGTGTGCTCAAGTTGGCATATTCTCATCTCTGCTTAAAGTAATGGTTTTTATTAAATGACATTAATCTCTTGAGCAATCGCTCCTCCTTTAGCTTTGCATTCATATGTGTTCCCTGTGAGCTAAGTTCACTTTTCAAATTTTCCTGCTATATCTTCAGATGCTCACTATAAATCTGGCTAAATGCAGTTAGCGGTAGCTGTATCACAGCCTGACTGTTAGTTTTTCTTGCAACTTTTCCCACTTGAACACTTAGTCTGTAGCACTTAATTTCAGCCTTGCTTAAGTCTCAAAACATAAGCAAGAGTGTAACAGAATGTAACACACATAGCCTCTAGTCCATTTCCCAATAGATTTCTTCCTCCCACTGAAATCTCATTAGTCTGGACTTTATATTACACATTCCTACCAAAGTCCTGGTCCTTTGAACTCTGTGTAGAATCGCCCATCAGGTGCTGCTTACAATTTCTAGGGTTTCTGAAACCTATTTCTTCAAACTTGTCAAATCCTTGACACAAGTTACTTGCAAAACCATCTAAATGATATCATCAAGTGCAATGACAGCAGTGACTCCACTCCAGGTACCAATTTTCTGTATCAGCATTTTTGTTTCTGGACCAAATGCCTGATATTCTCAACTTAAAGAAGTTTATTTCACCACTTCAAGCTCCATGATTGGTTGGCATCAAGTCAAAACATAATGGAGAGCAAAGATAATTCAACTCATGATAGCCAGGAATCGGCAGAGAAGAGCACCAAAGAGGAAGGAGAAAGGGAATATATGTTAATATCCAAAGAAGCATGCTAACCCACTGAGCAGTCAAGTTGATAATTAAGTTTAATGATCGGAGCTTTCCTTGGGGAATATGTTCTAATTCATTATCAGTGTCATAGATTTTCCCTATCTAGTCAAAACAGACTCACACTTTTGGAAACACACTCAGAAATACATTAAAAATTCTGCTTTATTGGGATTTTAAGTCCTCTGCATAACAAGATGCAACTGCACTGCACACAACCAAAAATATGAGTGCTTTCATCAGAACTCAGATTTCTAACTTTTTTTTTTTTTTCAAAAAATCATGGCTTTTGAAAATTTTGTGTTTAAGATTTCACCTTTTGGGATTTTAATCTTTTTGGGATTTCAGATATTAAGTATTGTGAACTTTTGAATTTAAATACTTGAGATTATGATGTAGCATTTGATATTATACCTTTTGGGATTCTGATTGAGATGGGTAAGAGGCAGACGATGGTGATTTTGGCTAATAGCAGTGCTGACAGAAACATACAGGAAAGTGAAATATCCATGGAGTAGTAAAAGTTTACTGAACTGAGTCGAATACAGAAACTGGTAGGTAAACTAAATAAATATACAGACAATTAAAAGATTTCCAAATTGATATTATCTGTATATTTATTTAGTTTACCTACCAGTTTCTATTTTCACTTGTAACATTTTTTGACTATTACTATGTTGGTTACTTACTCTCATCGCTGATACAAAGTTTCTGATGCCCAAAATGAAGGAAGTAAAGGTTTATTCACCTTACATTTTGTGGAAGTTTCAGTCCATACTCAACTGGCTTGAAGACAGGTGGCGTGGCTGAGGAGCAATCATATATGATAGCTGTGACAGATACCAAAAGTGACAGGAGAAAAAGGGTACAATGAAGATAACAAGCCTCTTTCTCTCCATCATGTTGTATGCCAGCTATCCACAACAGGGCAGATGTAACACTTGTACCATCAATCCCAGCACTAGACAATGAACTGATCACAAACTCTAGATTGAGCTGCCTTCAAAAGCCCACCACTCATGACAGCATGATGTTTTGAGGAGACATCCAGACATAAACCATAAGATTCCACACTAGTCCCCCAAGAACTCATGAACATCCCTTTATGCAAAGGACATTTAGTTCATCTGCAAGAGTTGCCAAAGTCCAAACAGTTTCATCCAAGTCTCCTCCAAGATATAAAACAAACTCTTAGCTGCAAGCCCCTGTACAAATGAAAACAAAGTTAGGCACTTCCAACATTCAGTGGTACACAATAAACATTTTCATTCCAAAAGTTACAACCAGGAGGATACAAAGGATTGGGACAAAAGCAGGTCCAAAATTCAGCAGGGCAAACATTAAGTCCTGTAGTTCCACATCCAGCATCTGAGGCAATCTGTGGTTAAGTTATGAGTTACAAAAGGCTTGCATGACTCTCCTTTTATGAACTTCTGGTGTACTTCCCAGAGTTTCTTACTTAGGCCTGATCTGCTCAATCTTTGCAGCTTTCCTCAGATGATCCACATTCTTGGCTTTTCCAAACTTCTGGGGTCTCCACTGTAGATTTGGCTTCACTTTCACAGCTTCACACATTGCCCTCTCAGAGGCACATTGCCTGAGCTCCCAGGTCTTGTTCTAAATTATGAATTGGAGCTTTTTAACCTCAGAACACTTTCCTTATGCATGTGCCTAACACCATTGCCATGTGGATGATATGACAGTCCACTGCAGCTGGAACAGTAGCCAGGCTTTCCTCTCACTTGGCTGTAGTGGTCAAGTACATGAATCACTGGGCACTCTGATTCTGAAGAAGTAAAGCCTCTATGTTGTCACCATTCTGGAACCTCATGCAGCAGCTAACACTATTCTGTAACTTGGTGTTGGTGCTGCTGCCATTCTGGAACATAGTATGACTGCCACCATTCTGGAACATGGTGCTCTGCAGCTTTCTCCTCAAAGTAAATATTACACTTTTGCAGTTTTGAGACCACAAAGGGTGAAGATTTGCCACTTGTTGTGATATACTCAGGCCATCTTTTCTATTGTTCCATACTTCCTCAGCAATGGAGAGCTCCTCATGTCTCTTTGCAGTCCACAACTTTACTGGAGTTTCCTTTCTGGCCAGATTCACAGTGTTTTAAATCATCCTAATGGGCTCTTCGCTCCTGATTTACAACCTAAATGTGGCTAAAAGAACCCAACCCATGCCACTGCACCAACATTAGACTTCCTTGAAATTTTTTCTGCCAGATTAGTTAGTCCACCATCCTTTATTTCAGACTCAGGGAAAATCCCTTGACATGAGCAAAATGCAAACATTCTGCCAACACATAGCATATATTGTCTGTAGTCCAACAGCTGGTGAAGTCCTTCTTCCCAACAAAATCCTCTAGAATCTGGACTTTACTAGCAGGATTTTTATATTTTGCAACAAGGATCAAACTCATGACCTTTCACATGCAAGGCAGATGCTTACATCACTGAGCTATATCTCAAACTCCTGGCAGGATTTCTATCAATCTCCTGGTCTTCTGAGCACAGAATCTCCCATACAGAACAG